CACGCCACCACGAATAGAATGTTCAATAAAATTGTAAGTGTCTACATCTGTGAATAGGTCCAATTTAGCCCCTGTGATTTTCATAGCAGCATCCAAACAGAAACCAGGCATGGAATAGTAGTGACAAATGTCAAGTCCATAGTCAGCTAAACAACCAGTTCTAAAGGTTTCAATAACATCAGTTAACAGCAACACATCTACTGTCACATACAATCTCATGAAGTCGCTCATGGATTGGCATTGAAATGTTTGCCATAACTGATGGGCAAATGCATAGTCATCCTCACTAACACCCTGCTCAGTCAATGAACTGTAGAATGCTTCCTTTGAAGGCAAACATGTCTCGCTTTAGCGTTCCCAGGAATCCATATGTTCATAGGGAAATGGTAGTTTTCGATGTTAACAAATCTACATGCTGAGGAAATTGTTCTTTCAAATATACAAAAGAATCCGCACCTTTTTTCCAACAGATTTTGTGTCAGTGCATCCAAAGAACTTTGTAAAAATTTGTAGGAATCCAAAAGCACTAATCTACGGGTCTACTGTGAAGGACAGAAATTGCTCAGTGGTATGAGGGTATCACTGTGATCTCACGATCACCAAACTGTTGTGCTACTTCTAACAAAAAGATGAGCATCATAATGTTCTAGATTGTGAAACATCACAATCACCTTTTTCTTAGTTGAAAGTTAAAGATTGCATTTGTTATGCAAGACTTGACGGAACTTCCCGGACAAGTGGTCATGATCCAATACTCTATCTGTTCCTAAGAGCTTTCCACACAACCCACAATGTTCTGTAGTAGCAATGAGCAACAATTTTATCTTGGTTAGTGAGTTGCATGGGTTTGACAGAATTAAACAGGCTCATGATGGCATCATATTCTTCCAAAATGCTGTTGATGAAATGTTCTGCTGCGTTTTCACCTATATAGGTTTGAATGGGTTTGGAATACTGTTCATCGGTACACCACCTTGTGAGGCATAGCCATGGGACATGGTTTAAACGTGAAGAATCATCATCTTCAGTCACTAACAAGCTTTTCAAAATCGGCTACAATCAAAAACTTGGCTCTTTCAGTTTTGCTTTGTGATCTTAAACCGAATTCATACACTGCTTCCTCTGGTTTAGGTAAAATGACTCTTTGCGCTTTCTTAAAACAATAGTGTTTGTGAGCTTCAACCTTTCCTGAGATAGAGTAAGACCACAAGCATTTTCTACAAACAAAACACATGTTTGTGTTACCTTTTCTGTTTCCTCACTAATCTGTTTCAAGTTGGTAATGAGACAATAATGTGTGTTGGGTACCTTGTCTATGTCCATGGCTTCCTCATGATCCTCTAACCCCAAGACTCCCTCAAAATCATCTGGTTGACTTTCTTGTGACAATAACAATAAAATCTACACACCTATTTTTCCTCCACGTTCGACTCATTACTGATGTACATAGGGTACAAGGTACCATCTTCAAAACCATTACACATTGATGCTCAACTGGTTAAGCTGTTCAAAACGAGGAATGTGTTTCAATGTCATAGGAAAAAAAACCCTTCTAAATTAAACCCAGCCTATTCTCAAATAGGGAGTAATGTGTTTCTCTTTCCTTGTTTGACGAGGTGGGTACAATTTGGCAAGAATGGAGAGAGCAAAGCATAAATCATTGTCTTTGTTTTGAATATTTAAAATACAGCGTGCATGTTTAGCCAGGGCTGGAGGAAGTGGAATGTAAGTACCCACCGTTCAATGGAGCGAACTTCACCACAGTCATTTCAAAAGGACAATGTCAGAAACATTTAATCCTGAATGAACTCCTTCATAGTCATCTAGTGTTTGGAGCATTTGGTTGATGGCTTCCAAATATTGTTCAATCAAATCACTACCTTCCATGGCTATCTGCATGCTGCTCCTAAAGTAGGCCTCGTGATAATTTGAATGGAGTATCTTCGCTTGGTTTCTCCATTTTAATGTGCAAACATAAAGCCCATTTAATTACCTTTTCTCACCTATTTCTGACTCAAAGGTTGAAATGACATTACTCTGTTCTCGGACTAGAAATTCTAATGCGTCAGTAGATGTTTGTCCTTCAAAATCATACTCTCTAACATCACCATGTAAGAGCCTGACTAGAACATAGGCTTTGAATGATCTTTAAGGTTGACTAGGATGGCGGGACGAAGGCAGGAGGAGCATTGGAAACAGGAGAGGTGAATCGGGGGGTGCACTGACACTACCTGTAGCCATTTTAGCTTTCTTAGCCCTGCCTTTACCATGTCCTATCATATCATGACCTGATTGACTTTTGTGCAGTCTTAATGCTTTTGAGGTAGGAAAGGATTGGTGACATGTTTGACAAGTGAGACCAGTAGCTCTCTTTGATGCACAGTGATGGTTTTGATAATCAGGATCATTTTGAAAATGTTGAAAACAATGCAGACATTGACGACAATAGACCACTTTTGCTGACAAGATTTGGCATGCTGATTCAAATTATCTTTTCGAGTTGAAAGTCGCTCTGACCCAATGGACAAGAATATAAAGTGCCCTACTCTACCACAATGTCTTTGGTGGCGTAGTAGAATTATGTTTAAGGCTAAAGGTTTGGTGACAATGATCACAAACAAACACCGGGCAGGTGCTCCAAAGGAAATTACTCATGGCTCACTCACTGTTAGGCTAAACACAATGTGTGGAACCATTGGTTATTCATCAATGACTAAAGTTACACCCCTTGACGATCTGAGAGAGGAAAAATTAATAAAAGTCTCATGCTCAGCATAACAGCTCAATTTATATTGGGCATAGTGTTTGTCTTACTCTTCCATAAACGATCAAGGTAATACAGGGGAGTTATAGAATTATCATTTGCAAATAATGAATAATATCGCATGCAACTTACGAGCTTATGCTTAAAAAGAACAGACAAAACTGATCAATAAAGTCAGTAAAAATGCTTACCGTTCTGTTGTATGCAAGAACGGATGAATCCTCGATGTGACAGAAGACAAGGCTAGGCTTTTCACGAATGTGTATGCTTGCCTGATGTCGTGTGATGATGTGAGTGAATGATGGACAGTCAGATCTTTTTATAGATGAAATATTTTCGCAATATCATTGAAATTCTTTTCACTAAGTACTAGCGGTGTCTGTAAAGGGATAATGAGTTCTGTAAAGTGCCATGTCATTTGCAGTATCGTGAGAAACTCCTCCGAGTCGGATTTTATTTGTCTACATTTTACATAAGATTCTAAAAGATGGAGAGAGTCAGCACATTCCATGAATCGCAACGTGGCAGCAGTGAACTGAAAAGATGGAGTGAGTCAGCACATTCCATGGATCGTAACAGGACAGCATTGAATCGGAAAGAAATGATCAATTGGTCAGATGACTACGTCGCATGAATAGGTGCCAGGATGTCTTTTGGCACATGGGTGTAATCAGGAATGAAGGTGGTGGTGAACACCACCTGTTGATTATTCAATGGAAATATTGTACCAATCTAAAACTGTAATGTGAATGTGAAACCTGTCCTGAAAAGTGATGTGAAATTGTGTTTAAAGACCGAATGTTCAGTGAAACTGGAAGACTAACACTGGAATTAGTTTTATATAAAAGAAAGCATCACTGATATGAAAACGGCAGAGTGTGTATGCAAACCCGTTTTTGTTCGAATTTTTAGGTAAGTTTTATTCATTTATTTGTTTTACTTTGAGTAATAATGTCTTACATGCGAGGGCAAAATGTACCATCACACTTAAAGGTGTTGAACTTTGCTATGATGCGATGTTATTTATGCATTACAATTCCATTTCATAGACCATGAACCGAAAATATTCAGCTCGAACGCAACTGCTAATGCATTATGAGGCCAAACCAGACGCGTTACTTCTCCTGTTTCTGCGTTTGGCGTTCAATTTCGAGAGCGTACGGGAACATTGATTCTCTGCGTATATGCTTCAGCGAGCATGACAAGTTTTTTCAAAGCAACGTCTCGTTCATTCATTCATTCATTTATTTGAATACACATTCCAAACTCCATGAATGAGCACGTTTCATAGAGTTAACCCTTTATCTCCTATCATAGATCTGAATAGTGACAGAAGATTACAAACATATACAAAAGGATTCATTTATAAGCTAACAAACTTGTAGGCATGTTTTTTGTCACTAGTGAGAGCTGTAGAAACACGATATGTATATAGAACGCTTACGATACTAACCGGATCGAGCTGTTCAAGGGTTAATGTATAACTTGTTTGTTCACCATATATCGTTTTCAACGGTTTCAGTTGATTCAGGATGCATCTGTGAAATGCTATCATTAAATAGTTTGCATACTTTGCGTTAAAGAGCACTTTGTGGAATGCCAAGGTTAAATAGGTTGCCTAGTTTTAAGGACGTTAAAAGGTGCACTTGTGGAATGCTATTGTATTCGTTGGAGGAACTTGTGGAATGATATCGTTAAATAGTTTGACTCATTCCTCTGGAATGTTTGTTATATAAGGATGAATCCTCATTCGAATGAGGATTTTTGAGGATTACTTCTCTGGAATGTCTATTGTATTCGTCTGGAATGCTATTGTATTCGTCAGGAATGCTTTTGTTCTCTACAATTTATTCAAATATTGTGCATTTTCAATATCATATCAGTGATTAACATATTAGTGATTAATTGTTTTGTTATCATCATTCAAAATATGATTCTCAGTTTGGGTTTTATGGTATTATGCAATACACATGCCACAAAATTAGCATATATTTTTTGCTCCTTCTAAAATCAAATTTGTATCAATACACATTGTAAATGTTGATTTTTCAAAATCCTGTCTCTGATGTCAATAATAAAAAGAAAGAAATATATACATAGTTAAGTCTGGATGTTTCTAGAGCTACTATCTAAAAATAGCCTGACGGCATTCCCAGAACGGAAGTGTCGATCTGGAGGCACACGTTTCACATGATGTAACTTCCGACATTTCAGCCAATCAAATAGAAGACAATAATCTCGCGATGGTTGTAAACAGAAGATGACTGTATGTTGTGCTGATGTGTATTATTTGATGTAAGCTACAACCTATAGATGGGAAGAAGGAGGGGACGAAGATGGTTTTCACGCATAGTGGGAGTAATTGCGTCTTTGGCCGCACTGTGCGTTGCAAAAAGTAATGTAGAGGCGTCGAATGATCGGCCGAAGTCCTGCCCCAATCCGGGGCAGGAGTCGGCGCGAGACAAGTAAGTTGATACTTCTTCCAGTTCATTTCATGACAGCGTAGTTATCGTGAGCACTAATTACAGGCTTAAATGCAAATTAATATGAAATATGGTAGTCGGAAATATTTTGGTTGTGGTTTCATTCAAGGGAGATAACGCTGTTTCAATCAATGCAATGTGGACGTCACACACCCTGTTTAGTTTCAGGTGCTTGTTGTATGGCAATATCATTCCAGGCACGCTGATTAAGTTATGAACAGTGAGGTAGTTATAGTCAGGCATTACCAGTTAAATCTTCTGTAGTCAGCTTTCCTCATTGGATTTTGCTGTGTTATGACACGTGAAAGTATGTCATGTTGTGGTGACCCTTGAACATGGCGATCGGATTGGAATATCTGATTGGACGATTGGGGCACACCCCCGTCCTTGACATTGTATGTTATTCACTTGTGGTCGCCAGTCGTCCGAGATCTATTGAATTATGTAGGCGAATCTTATGTGTACAATTATCAGTCGATGTTCCAGGTCATACCTTTTACCATGTTCACGACTCCATAGTATACTTATTATCAGAGTGTATCATAATAGTACTAATACTATCATACCAGTAATTATGGTACTCTAGAACATCGATGATATAATGCAGTTTCTTCAGGCAGTGTTACATATAAAACATTAAGATTATTAATGACAAGGGGTCATTGTCATTGCCTTGATGTTACAGAATAAATATTAAGTGATTTCCTGGACTCCGACATCTTAATAACCTTAAAGACCACCCCATACTTTCAAACATTGCTTGACGTTCACATTTCAGCAGATGGTTTATTATCCATTTATTGTTTTCTGTGGCCTATGTAAGAACAGACACAATATAGGTCCTCAAATGTCTATGCACATGATGCATGTAAGATGCAACTAAATGGATTGGAGGTCAGGCAGCATTGTATCAGAAAATATTGTTGGTCCCAGTTCGTAATGTCAGTCACTTGCTAACAATCCAAATGTCATAATTACAATGAAGCGTGATATGTATTATACTGTCTACTGAATAGTTATCGCCATATTTTAGCGGTATTTACAAACTTACTCCTCCGTTCGTTAAATTAATGGAACAGAATTAATTATGATACTTAATTAGCTATTCACTGATGTGTCCAGCACGTTCACTGCCACTGATCATGTTTTTATATAACGCGGCGGAAGGGAATCATGACAGTATAAATAGCTGTTTTCTCAAAACTAACTGTAACAGTTATCACCATTCCGAACTTCTCATGCCATTTGTGAAATAATACATATGTTTATATCAATCCCAGTAACCTTGAATAATTGATTACGTGACTATTAATATTTTTAGCGTTTCTTTTACAGTAGATTAATAGGGAATGAAACAATTAATGATTTGTGAACTTGAACCTGCTATTATATAGGTCGCGGGACATCCCCCCGACTAAGTTAAAAACATTTTATAGGGTTCATAACTTTATGTTTAATTTTTCTCGTATGTTACTTACAGTGAAGAATTTTCTTTTGCTTTCCTTTATTGTTGTCAAAAACCGTTGGGGGAAAAAATACCGGAATTGTAATTGACCAGAAAAGCGCACGTGTGATACTGATGTATTGGCGATAACTGTTACGCGGTGATAACTGTTTGCTAGCCAGTATGTGTACTGCAGGGAAATAATCATTTTTTCTCTGCACTGATACCAACCACTTTTACATTGTCAATCTATGAAAATTATAGCTGTATATATACCATGGCCTCCTCAAGGAAGTGTCCTGTAGCCTGTGACTTTGATATAGGCTAGTGGAAAGAAGACCGAAAAATTTGAAAAAGAGAAGTTTACATCAACACGTGTCACTTAATTATAGTTCTGATTTTGACTTGATTATTTACAGATGGCCCAGTCATCTGAGGTGCCACAATTTACTTCCAGTGTTTTCTTTGGGTAGCCAGAAACCTATGATTGTGGGTTTGACTCTAAGGTTTCACTGATTATGGTTTTAGGCTATCATGATAGCACATAAATGAACTTGTGCCATCCACAGAACTATTATTGTGCTATGTATTTGTACGGCAGCTAAATCATTGAAAATGATGACAGCAGAAAATTTTGTCATGTTTATTGAGTGAGTGAGTTTAGTTTTATGCCTCAGTCAGCGATATTCCAGCTATATGGCGGTGGTCTGTGAATAATCGAGTCGGGACCAGACAATACAGTGATCAACAGCATGAGCATTGATCTGCGCAATTGGGAACCAATGACATGTGTCAACCAAGTCAGTGAGGCTGACCACCCGATCCCGTTAGTCGCCTCTTACAACAAGCATGGGTTATTGAAGATCAATATTCTAACCTAGACCTTCACGGGTCATGTTTATTGATATGGGAACAAAATTCTATTGATAGATATGCCTCCCTTTTTGGAATATCCTCTGGATAAAATATTGGTAAAGCAAAGATGTACAAAACAGGATATATATATCTGTGTGAGTAGAAGGATTGATCTAAAAGATGAATTTTTCAAAATGGACAATGTAAAAGTGGATGGCAGATCTGCAGTGAAAAATAAATTATTTCCAGGCAATGCACATATAGTACATATCACAACTGCTTCATTGTAATTATGATGTGTGGATTAATTTTGTTATGATACATATCTAAGTACTCGAACCATTATCATGTTTATCTTTTTACAGAAAAGCTTTCACGTCTGTACTACATGTTAATCGGTAAACTGTCTGTGCCTATAGTTTCTCTGTTTAGTTATAATAACCATGGTAACAGACAACATTTGACTTTTGTGCAGATACATGATGGTGGTGAGCACCCTGGATGGACGGGTGTCGGCCCTGGATGTCGGGGACAAGGGGCAGCTGATGTGGTCAGTTCAGGCTGACTCACGTCCACTGCTGTCTTCAAGTATCAGCAAAATGGAGGTTTGCTGAAATTTCTCTTTGTTGGAATAACCCGATAAATTGATATTCGCGATTGATAAACAAACATGGTCAGTGATCCTGCCTATTAAGAACCACACTACTCTAACAATATTTGCTGGGCTGCAACTAAACTGTGCTTGATTTGATCACAAGACTTGTTAATCCCAAGAAACGCTGTATCATTAGGTCACATGGAACAGCGACCCATGAAGATCCTGTTAGAACTGGCCATCAGCAACCCATGCTTGTAAGAGGAGACTAACGGGATCGGGTGCTAAGGCTCGTTGACTTCGTTGACTTGGTTGACGTTGGCGATGTGTCATCATGTCCCAAATGCATAGATCGATGCTCATGCTGTTGATGGCTGGATTGTCTGGTCCAGACTGGATTATGTACAGACCGCCACCATATAGATGGAATATTGCTGAGTGTGATGTTAAACAATACCAGCCGACATGGAACAACTTAATATAATCAGGGCTCAATGTAAGCAAATGAAACCTACTTCACCCTGTGTAGCCTGAAGAAGTAATCTTGTTGCACCAGACAATAACACCTTGTGGCCTTGTTGGTCTCAGTAGGCATTAAGCACTATAAAACCAGCTTCGAGTCTGGGCTAGGTACAATTCAGCTTCACATACACATCATCATATGAGCACTAAATATTCTCAAGTGCGACGTTAAACCCAATTTCACCTCACCTCACCCAAGTTATTCTGGGTCTGATAAGATCATTTTATCATACTTCAACCAATTTCAGCCATGTATAGTAACAGGCATTCAATCACTGTCCATGTAGTCATCAGTCACTGAGGCCAAATAAAGAAAAAAGGTTGTGGTTCCAATTACACCTCTTTAAAATTTAGGGTAGGTAGGTAGGAAGGGATTTTTTTTTTACAATTTTATTTTAGAAGCAAAGTACGAACTAATAACACATTTATCAATGTATAATTGTTTATTCAATCAAGCTTGCGACCATCATGTCAACTTTCTGTATCAGAATGACCGATGACCGTTGGTGCTGGGGAAAAACAATGGTATCTGAAAGTTTATTTTATTCCTACTTCGTTAAAAAAACTAGGGTCGGCACCAGAATTCAAGGGTCGGACAGGTAATCAGAACCACAACAATTTTTGGGGGGCCTGATCCAAGCCAGTTTCTCCATCATTCTGTTTCCCATATGAAGTCTGTACTTTGAATAGCGAAATATCAAATCCTGTTAAATATTGTTCATTGCATCATAAGTCAAATTTGTGTGAATCATTATCAAATATCAGTGAGCTTTAGTTTTTGCTTTTAGTATTAATATCATGGCGGGGCAGTGCAAGTTTCTAAAATTGTACCCAATGTGAATAGGAATTACTTTTAAATCATGATGTCTTATCAGTGTACAAGATTTTCAGTAATTTGAAAATACAGAATGTAATGTCAAGTAAACACTTTAAAACATTTGTAAATTCCCATTATCCTGGATATCCATCTATATACAGTTGTCTGTCTTTTACTAATTCATTCTTAACAAGAATTTTCAGATCTCTGCATTTCTGCTCCCAGCAGAATACATTGTATTTGTATTGTAATTTCAGGTGATGCGCGAAGGTGTACGGACACGACTCATTCCGTCACTAGATGGCGGTCTGTACCAATACGATGGAGACAGTATTGAGGCGGTTCCTATGACAGCAGAGACGTTGCTCTCTTCATCCTTCAGGTTGTCTGACAACACTATGATGATCGGTGGGAAGGACATTCGGACATACGGACTAGATCCCACTAGCGGACAGGTGAGTCTAGCTGTCACATGTATATAGAGTCATCGTCATTACTTAGGGGCTTTTATGCACCATATCATCAGTGAATACAAATGGCTACTTTTGGGGGTTGAGTACCACCCGGGATTCAAACCCACACTGTCAGAGTGACACACCTAATCACCAGCACACAAAGTCAGTGTTCTAACCCACTCAGCCACCAACTTTCACAAAATGGAAGTCTGATGACTGGTAGTCTAGATCTTGTACCTTGTCTGCCTCTCTGACAAGTGTATGTTGGCATTGCTCCCATCACATTAGCTATGAATACACAATGCCTTTTAGAAAGTGGTCAAATGCAACATATGTTATATTTGGGTGCAAGGGCGATGGGGTAGCCCAGTGGTTAAAGCGTTCGCTCGTCACGCCAAAGACCCAGGTTCGATTTCTCTCATGGGTTCATTCTGTGGAGCCCATTTCTGGTGTACCCTGCTGTGATATTGCTGCAATATTGCTAACTCACTCACTCACTATTTGGGATCACACTTTCTCAGTAAAGTACAGATTCCATTTGGGGCTTGAACCCACAGTCTCAGAGAGTGGCATCTAACTTTGTAAAAATTTGACTCGTGTAACTTTTTATGGCATGTTTGTAGCTCGGTACATTCTCTCATAAAGGAGTTGTGTTTGATTTTGGTGGAAACTTTTCAAGATGTATTTGCTGTTTGTGGTGTAGATCCGCTACCTGTGCACAATGGCAGGATGTCACGATCTTAACCAGGGCGACGCCCGAGCAGAAGATGACCTCATCGTCATCACACGCAACACTCAGACTGTTCGTGCCGTGGATGCAAGGCTCGGAGTGGAGAAGTAAGATCTTCAATCATTTTTTACATCTCAAACTCACATTTAAAAGCTGTAGTGTCTGTAAAGAAATGGTCAACTTACAGATTCAAACTTCTGTTTGCAATGCACCAGTAGTCATTACTGGTGCCATTGTTGAAAGAGGTGGATATCCATGAGTTAACTCCGTCTTCATTCAACCGTTGTTTCAGCTCATAATGTTGCTTTTATATTTTGTTTATCGAGATACTGTACCAGAGTAACAGACCGCCTCCGTGGTGTAGTGGTGGTATTCATGCTTCACTGCGGCATGGTATCTCAGTGGGCTAGCACTATAAAACCAGCTTCAGTCTGGGCTAGTACAAGCACCCGCACATACACATACACGCACATGCACGTTGTCATATGAGCGAAATATTCTCAAGCACAAGGTAAAACCCAATCTCACCTCACCTCACCAGACTAACATGTTTTGGGTGACATAACTGTCTCTAAAAGTGAAGTTCTTGAACTGGACACTGGTAGTGTGAAAACTGTGATTTAACCTCACATCATCTGCCCAGAATGCTAATGTGCCTTATTTATTGAATAGTATAAATGGTATGAAGTCTAATCATGCTAATTAGGGTGTTGCATATATCCATTCAAGACATTAGCATGATTAGTCATTTCATTGGATGAGCCCTTTGCTGAGTTTATCTCCTGGTCTCACATTTCTATGGAACGACACTAATCTCTGTATCCATTCCTGTGGTTTATCAATTACCTGCCCTTGCGTTTCATTGACATTTTTCTGACCAATGAAATAAAAGCGTAAGATGGGTAACATTCATTATTTTTCTTATCCTGACTCATGTTTATTTGCTTGTCTTCTTCTTCTGGCGAACCTAGTGGAACACTTGTATCTCCCAATTGAAGTTCCCTTCAATAAAAAATCACTCATTAGCACTGACCACGAGTTACCTCCCTTTCCACAAGGGAGAACGAGCGCCACCTGAACCCATGTGCCTCACTCTCTCCTTCTTAAGCCCAGTGAGCAAGGCGTGAGAGCACCTGTGTCTCCCTGCACACTATATCCTTTATTTATATTTAGTTTGTTACCTCTTATATTCATCTATAGAGGTGTAACTAGTATCATTATTCAACATGCATTGATAATTATTCGTGTTTCTGCTGCTTGATTCACGGTTAAGCGTGTTGCTCAGCAGTTTCGCGTTAATAAAATCTGCACTGTTTGTAAATTACGTTACTCTGCTACCGATCCACATTTAAAATGCCCTAGTTGCATTACTCCATGTTCTATTGTTTCTTCGTTGTAAATTATATATTAATTTACCAATTTCTGCCTTTGATAAATATTTATGTTCCGCTTTGAGGCGGAAGGCAGATAAATCTCGGAAACAATCTTCAGTCATGGCTAATAGATCGAGTCAGATATATCCTGAGTTACCTTCGGGGATAAGCGTGTGGGGACGAGATCCGCTATATCTAGAAGCGACCTTGATTCCCAGGGCGTTCCTTCATCACAGTATAAAACTAGAAGAACTTCCGCGTCGTCTCAGCGTATGCTCCGAGCCCCAGGTTTACAGCCTCGTCAAAGGGAAATCCACGAAGACTACTAAAAACTTTGCTTCTGATATTCAGAATTATGTTTATATGATGATGACATTTTGATTATCATTCCAGATGTATGTCATAAGAAGTGACCAGATGCGGCTACCCGCCACTTCAGCGCAGATCAACATGCAATCAGAGATGCCTACGCTGACGCTTCGGAGATTATAACTGAGGGTCCGTCACTATCACAGAGGACACCCTCAACGCCAGCGCGAGACCATCCCAGACGACCTGGTCAACCAAATCATGAGGGCTGATGGAAGACCGTTACGGCTTACAGAGGCTCCTCTAGAGCCACGGGCCCCAGAGCCCACCCCATACTAAGTCAATACAGGGCCCCAGAGCCCTTTGACTTAGTAGGGGCCCCCTGAGCCCATAGACGCAGCCCGCCTTGAAGAAGGCAACCCTGCCCGAGGTGTGCTCTTTTTGCATAAGGTATCCCAGGCGCCTCGAGAAGGAGCTAGAGTCTGACCCTTTGCAAGAGGCTTCATGGCGGAGGAGAAGAAGTAAGCTTCGCCGCACGCACCTTGTCATGTAATGGTAGGCGCTTAAAGCAAGCACTCATATGTCGGATCGGACACTGACTTCCAGACATTCGGCGCAAAGACGCGAAGGCTAAGTGGTTCTAGCGCGCCTAGAAGGCGTTAGCGCCAGCCCCTCAAGCGCTCGAGAAGCCCAGAGGCCGGCGGCCATCACCGTTTCGAAGCCCACAGTTCCGCTTGAAGGATGTCTTCTCCAAGGTCTACATACACTAGCCAATCGTCAGTCCGTTCTCCTCAGTCCTCACATAGATCTTCTTACAGATCGAGGGTCTCCGACTGATCATACCACCATACGTCAGAGGAAGACGATGGTATCATTTAAGATCGGACTCTAGACACTTCGCTAAGGAAGTCCCAGGCGCCTCGCATAAGGAGCTACAGCCTCACCAATTGAGAGGGACATCGCATGAGAAGGAGCGCTTTCGCCGAGCCCACACCCTGTAGAACACAGAGGTCGATCGCTGAAGCAAGCTCATATATTAACTCTGACTCGATACTTTTCGCCAAAGGTCGCGAAGGCTAAGTGGGTTCAAGTCTTTTCACCCAGAAGATCTAGAAGCGCTGCCAGAGATCTTTCGCTAAGTCCCGGCGTTCTACGAGGAAGTCCTCCAAGGTCTCAATATATAGCCACTCGGCCAGTCCGCTCAAGACATCACATGAGTTGTTTATCAACTGTAAGCCATATGCCGTCTACAAGCCTACGCGAAGACAATTGCACAGGCTATTTACAAATACACAACGCCGCTGTATTAATTTATCAACGGATGAAGAGCCTAATTAGGGGATCTTCAAGCCGACTACCTACTACTGATACGATTATCTATGTCGTGACTCTTACGCGCAGATCTGCAGACAATTCAAAACGAAATTGAACAGCAGTCTTGTTACAGCGAGTAAAACTCATAATCGCCAACGCATTTCCTCAGAAGTAATATGTACAACAAGTTCAGCTTTAACAGTCTACAAGCTGACAACTTGCAAGGTTATTGAACCTTATATAAAGAAGTCGGAATTATCTTCAAGACTGAAGTTACTTTCACGACAACCTGGAAAATAACTTATCCAGCATTAATATTACAGAGCGAGGTATTTCGGCGCCGGAGGTTTCGCGCTTACCATCAACCCTCAAACACGTGGTCACTTTCGGGTAACTTCGGGGAAGTTACGGTGAAGACCGGCGATTGTTCTAATATCAACGACGCACTATATTATACAAGGTTCCTTTCCTGATACACCGTGACGCTACAGCGCTGGGTACTCTACAGAATCAAAATGCCTTGTTCTGATTGGACCGAGATGGACAACGCCCTACGCAGAGGTCGATCATAGTTCACAGTTCAACACATAGGTTGCAAGTGACAAACAATATATCAGTGAACGACAGCAAGCCTCCTTACAGTCCAGCTTAATCTAAACCTTTCATGATTGGGCTGCCTTCTTGAGGTTAGAGACCTCCCCTGTCAAGTGCAAGACGAGGACACGCAGTCAGACGATTTTTACATAAAGTTCAACGATGGCAGTCACCCCTGGTTATGCATCTACATCGCCAAGCACTTCGCAGTTTAATTTACTACTCGACGACGGGATACAAATGGATCCAAATCCATAGCGCCTCAGACTACAGTTGAATTCATCATCAAGCTACTAACACAACTAGATGGTTAGTAAACCTATTTTAAGTTGGACCTAGAACCTTCGCAAGATCTGCTATTCTAGGTTTTGATTTGTAACGCGCAGAATCGTGATAATTGTACGAGGAGGACCATGGATCAAGATCCAACAGTCATTTCCTACAAGCCTTTTACTATCTCCACTACCACTCACGACAGTGACAGAGTCTGTTGGGGTTACGACTTCAGCTCAGCTCAAGACATGACAGACAGAGGCAGACTACAATTACATCCGCTACAAGTCATCAGCAATTCGCAGATCTAGAAGAATCCTCTACCGCTCAATCATCGGTTCAGGTCAAACCTCATCTACTATGATGCACCAAGAGATCGAATCGTTTGAATAGGCGCGCCCCGCTAATAGAGCTGGAATCGATAACACTTCTCTACGAGATGTCACTATAAGGTTGGGGAGCCCATCTTGCCAACAGGACGGCATCAGGGCTATGAGCAATCAAGAGAGCAATTACACATAAATTTGCTAGAGATGCAAGCAGTAATAAGCTTCTTTAATACTGGAGCAACTTACTACAGTATACCCAGTGGATGATTCACACAGTCAATTCGACAGTGGCGCTTTTATGTGAACAACTAAGCTCAACCAGGTCCCCGAACATATCGACTCTGTTTTCAATTGTTCGATTTAATCAACAATCTCAACATACATGTCAGAGCATATCACATTCCAGGAGCAAAGAATGTGATAGCAGACGCCTCTCGGCCACACATACCATCGCACGACAGAATGAATGCTCCATACAGAGATATTCACTCAAATTATCAAGGAAATAGGAACTACACTAATAGACCTATTTACCATTCGATTCAACAAGCAACTGACAACATTCTCGATCGCCAGTTCCAGACCCACTCAGCATTGGCAACAGACGCACTAAGCATATTGTGGAAGGTCTCAACGCTGCACGCTTTTCCACCACCAGCGTTAATCTCACAAGTTTACTCTAAATCAGTCTAAAGCAGAGCCTCCATCTGATTTTGGTCACGGCCTACTGACCAGCGAGGAAGTGGTTTCCAACTCTTATTCAAGAAATCGGACAACCAATACTACACCTTACAGAGTGCTCGAATAACAAGCGCATGGAAAGCCAGATATATTCCAACTCCACGTATGGATTGTATCATAGGTCTGAATAACAAGTTATTCAGCCAGAGCGGCAAAGCAGTCTAACTTGCCCTGCGTAACTCAACTGGCAACTTATCACGATGACAAATGGCACAGTTTTGTCAATTATGCTGCAAAGGAAGGATTTACAGCTAGATATGCTACTCATCCTCAAGTGGCGGACTACTTATGTTATCTACGTCAGACTAAGATTTTATAGAGGCGCGCAGCTTGTCCACCTATCTTGCAGCAATAGCTCTATCATAACTGAGAATGAAGGCCAAGTTAATCCTAACCCAGTTACTCGCCTGCTACTCTGAGGCTTCCGATTGGAGGATTAAAAGCGGAAGTTCAGCTCCAACTTGGGATCTGAATATAGTGTTCCAACACCCTCACAAGTGAGGTTTATGAACACGCTTTGATGATATACTTGAACCCCATGATACGCATGAATCTATCAACGATGGCCAGTAATAGCACTAAAAATATATCTCCACCGAGCCAAACAGGAGGGAAAATGCAAGAGATTTATTTCCTTTATCAAGCTACTGAGACGGAAGTCTCACGCACTACTATATCTCCTTTTGGATCAGAACTGTCATACTAAGGTACCTACAAGACTGTAGGACTCTACCCCTCCATGAGCTTCTAATCCTCTTAATATTAGAGCTAATATCTCCAATTGCTCTGTACACAAATGCTTTTGGAATAATGGAGGGTTATTTCTGGAGATCCGATATGGTGTTTGCCAACCACTATCTGAGAGAGATATCACCACCGAGGACGCCTCAGGTATCCACCTATTCGGTCCCATGGTCCTTCGACAACAGTTGACAGTTCCTCGGAGAAGATAAGTCAATCTTACAGATTTCTACTTATCTTATAACAGTACTAAATAGCTACATGCTATTTATATTTTGCTTAAGTTCAATTTTATTATCTTAAGCTCAGTACTATGGTTATTATATCATACAATATGTAAGCTAACAACTCTACGGAGTTTGTTATTATATATTTAGCTTAAGTTAATCATATCTTAAGCTTAGTACTATGGTTACATTATAAATATATTAGCTAACAAACTCTCACGGAGTTTTTGCTCATTATATATGTAGCTTAAGTTTATTCATATCTTAACCTCATTACTATGGTTATATCATATAAGTATATTAGCTAACAAACTCTAAAGAGTTTTTTGCTATCATATACTTAGCTTCAGTTTCATCATATCTTAAGCATTATGGTTACATTATAACATGTATTAGCTAACAAACTCTCACGGAGTTTTTGCTATTATATATGTAGCTTAAAGTTTATTCATATCTTAAAGCTCAGTATCGTGTTTATATCTTATAAGTATATTAGCTAACAAACTCAAAAGAGTTTTACTATCATATACTTAGCTTAAGCTCTCATCATATTTTAAGCATTATGGTTACATTATAAAATGTAATTGCTAACAAACTCTACCGGAGTTGTTTTGGCTATTTAGGTTGCTTAAGTTAATTATATCTTAAGCACAGTTCTATAATCATACTATATATATGCCTACAACTCTTAGGAGTTCTACTATTATATATATGTTCAGCTTAAGTTTCAATCCTTAAAAGCTCAGTCATATGTTCATTTCATAACATGTATTAGTTAACAAACTCTCAGTAGTTGGTTACTATTATACAGCTTAAAAGTATCATTATACCTTAAGCACAATTCTGTTATAACTTACATATATGCATATTGTAAGTTTACTACTTTGGTTCTATAAAAGTATTCATCATAAACTATCAACAGTTTATACTATCACATTAATAGCTTTAGTTTAATTAATGTTCTATATATACTTTTATTATATTCAGTAAATTGTAATAACCCTTATATGGCAACTGATAAGTTAACAGCAGGAATTCAGTTCAGTGCCTTCATGAAGTTCCCTTAGGGTTATTGCAATTATCTCTGTTCAAATCACTAATTAGTAAAATCCAAAGTATATATAATCCCACCTCCTATTCCATAGGATTCTACACAAGCAAATAAACATGAGTCAGGGATAAGAAAAATATGAAATTTTTAGAGTAAAATTAATATTTTTATACTTATCCTGACTCATGAGGTAACTCCCTCCTGTCCTCCCCACTTTTAACACTTTGGATTTCCCTGGAAATTCAGGTGTTGGGCTCAGTATATGAGGAGAGAGTGAGGCACATGGGTTCAGGTGGCTCGCTCCTCAAGACTTCTGTGGAAGGGAGGTAACTCGTGGTCAGTGCTAATGAAGGGCGGTGGGTAGCCTAGTGGTTAAAGCGCTAGCTCACACGAAGGCGTCTGGTTCGATTCCCCACATGGGCACAATGTGTTAAGCCCATTTCCTCGTGTCCCCCTCACTGATATTTGCTGGAAAATTGCTAAAAGCGGCGTAAAACTAAACTCAGTCAGTCAGTGCTAATGAGTGATTTTTATTGAAGGGAACTTCAATTGGGAGATACAAGTGTTCCACTAGGTTCGCCAGAAGAAGAAGACAAGCAAATAAACATGAGTCAGGATAAGTATAAAAATATTAATTTTACTCTAAAAATTTCATATATTTGATTCCAAAAGAAACCACTGTGTTTAAAGGACATCAAGACATTCTTTCCTTTAAACAAAATTTTCGAAACCTTTTTCAGGCACGTAAGTCTTTAATCTTGAATTTCCTGCAAACTCCATCATAATCAGTGGGACAGGCCACCATGCTGATGCTGGTTTATAAGTCTCATTCTGATTGCTACATATTTGACCTAGTACATGAGTAGCACGCCGCGACTCAGCAAGTCCCAAGATGGCCAATGGAAATCAAGGCTGGGTACTTAGAGATATAGAGGACCATGGAACTGGAAACTAGTGTTCATGTAGATTTACCTGATATGCTATCCCTGGAGAAATAAAGAATAACATTGTATTGTGGGTTATTTAGTGCTGTTGAATATACATCAAGACCAATGCAATATCATCAAGCCTTGGTGTCCCATAGAAAGGATCGTAACAAAAAACTGAATTGTAATTTGGAAAAGCGTAGAGAGAGTCGGATATATCTAGAGAAATATGAATTATGTCAACCTATGTACTGTTCACCTCTTGCTGTCTTTAGTTTTTGTTACAAAAAATCATACTCATAGAAACATATTTAAGGGAACACATGAAAGTACAAGTGTTCCTTTATTTATTTCCAGAATTTCACTCACAGTGCAATACATACCATGTGAAGAAACTTGGAAAAGAATAAAGGAACACTTGTACTTTTATGTGTTCCCTTATTAGTTTCCATGAGTATATATTCTATAAAAGATCCAGCAAACACAAATGTTTGACGTGCAGTAACCTTGGTAGTAAAGATGAAATAATTTACTGACTCACAAAAAGCAAGCACAAACATGATTATGATGAAACATCACCACCTTTGAACTGGTAAAAACTTACTGGTACCCATTTCTTATGACATTTATTGTATATTGTCATTAGGTGGAACTTCAGTGTAGGTCGTCATGAGATAGAGATCATTGATGGTGCAAAATCCACTCACCCAGATGAGATAGACGGGGATGATGATGACGACGGTGTTACCATAGCAACATGTAATCCAGGTGTGAAACTTCTCTGGTTATTCAAAGCCATTCTTATGCCCTTGTTTATATATACTTACCTGTTCATGAGAGGTTGTTTGAAGGGATACCCGATAATGACAATAATATTTCATGACCAATTGTGTTGGTATTCTTGCATGTCATTTTGTATTTTTGTCCTAAAAAACCCGCTGCATTTCTATTTTATTGCTCCATTTCCCTGTAGATATGGTAAATAGCACCAAGAGATGAAAGGTGCAGTCATCCAGACCACCACTTTTAGGCTGCAAAAACATTCCAGATTATGATTGAAAGGAAACAATTAACTCAAATATTTATTTTTGATTTTTTTTTCTGTGATTCTGAAACCAACTGTGTCTTCTTGTGAAGTGAAGGTTCTGTTTGTGGTGTTATAAGGTGAGGGTTTGTCACCAGAAGAAATGTCTGAATTCGAAGGCTACCTGAAGATCATCGTGCCAGAGGGGATGATAGTCGCCCTCAACCCTGAGGACTCTGTTAGTGTTATGTGGCAGCACAAGGTAAGAGTATACAATATGCTGAAACTCTGATTCAATGTGATACAGTATAACATATAAGCCTGTATTGTGATTGTTGTAACTTGCTCGGTGAAAAGTATACAATGCCATCCGGTAATTCCGCGCACTTAAGCACATCGATCGCAACACGGCAACCAACCTCTCTTATTTTTTGTGGTTTATGTGACTAAACATGCTGGTATGCATCATATTTACCTAGAAATATAAGTTTTATTAACGGCTATAAGATTCTAGCGTTGCATTATGCCATATGGTTGACCTTACCGGCGTTCTGACGACATCGCTTGCTGTCCGGTAATTCTGCGCAACTGATGCGCATAACATCCAGCTGGAGATCCAAAGTATGGAAACGTATTAGGGCCAGATTATTTTCAAAAATCACTTCATCAATGTAAGGATGAGTGTTTCATATTAAATCCAATTATGAATAATGAAGAAAAAGGTTTAAAAGTCTGAAGAAAACAAATTTTCATAAAACTGTCAATTTGTCTGTCAATTACAGTTATTTACTTGCCTTTAGTGATTAAAAGCCAGTCCCTTGTAGAAATGTCCTGATTCCAAGCGTAAATGTGGTAGTAGATGATGTTTATCTTACGATGGACGGAAGTGCGCTATTGCTGACCGCGCAGAATTACCCAACGACAGAATTACCGGACTCACCTATAATCTAACCCAATCTAAACACTTTTTGTTGTGGTGCACAACATCCACTCAGTGAAACACACATCATATTGTGGAAGACAGCACATTGTGACAGACTTTCTATTTAGCTGTCTCCAAGTCCATCCATCTGTCTACTTTTCCTTTCCAGAGCAAAACTCCAAAGCCATCGATTATTTTTCTTGATTTTTTCATGGAAACGTGTTGGACTTAGTCTCAAAACGGAGGGGTTTGCTTCGTTTCTGGAGCACAACTCGAAAACCGTTCAATATCTTTCAAAAAAACTTGGCAGATATGTCAAACAGATCCCATAGTGGTGCCTTTTGCTATTTCCAGATTTTTGTCATTTATATTTTTCTGTTTCCATGGTTTAGACTTAGTATTAAAAAGGGAGGGGTGGTCTGTTTTGATTTCAGGATCACAACTCGATAACCATTCATATATGTCTACAAGACTTGGCAGAGATATAAAACAGGTCTTGAAGTGGTGCCTTTTGCTATTTGCAGATTTTTTTATGATTTCCATGGAAACAATTTGGACTTAGTCCTAAAAAATCAAGTTGGACTTTTATTAACTGTCTGATGATTTGTTCTTTCAAATTTCTGGGGACCGAGGGGATTTGTCATCTTTGATGACTCTTGTTAATGAAACTTGCTACCCAGAGAAGTCTAGTGGTGAACTGGTGCTATTTTGATGATTTTGGACTTATAGATACCGAACAGCATTTTTATTCCCCTCTGAACTGAAAGGCTGTGAACTGCACCACCAGACCAGGTGATATCGTAATCTCCTGATGACTCTTATTGTCACATACATCTGTTTCCACCAGTTCTCCAGCCCGGTGGCCAATGCATGGCTAATGCACCAGGGCAAGCTGAAGCAGATGAGTCTGTTTGACACACGCCATGTTCCCGCCATCTCCAGCTTCCAGCCCCATGACATCGACAGCCCACCAGGGGATCCACTGCTTTATGTCGGTGAGTTCCGCACAGCCATCTGAATAGTCACATAAAACAAGGAGTGAGTGAGTGAGTTTAGTTTTACGCCACGCTCTGCAATATTCCAGCTATATGGCGGCGGTCTGTAAATAATCAAGTCTGGACTAGACAACCCAGTGATCAACAGCATGAGCAAGTTGCAATTGGCAACTGATGACATGTGTCAACCAAGTCAGCGAGCCTGACCACCCGATCCCGTTAGTCGCCTCTTATGACAAGCATGGGTTACTGAAGATCAATATTCTAACCCGTACCTTCACGGGTCCATAAAACAAGGAAGCTGTCTTAGTTATTGTGTACACTTTGAGCATTCCTCTCCACAACCCTCATTCTTGGTATCAAGATTATGTACGTCAGGTCTATTATTGTTGTTCATGTCAAGGTAAAAATTACTTGTGCAATAGCTTACTTTTATAATAAAACAATGCTTGCTGTATAACAGCCTTATCCATGTACATGCTGCTCTGATTGTTAATGATCTAACAATGCTTGTTTGTTCTATAGGCATGCATCAGAACCAGCTTTATGTCCAGCCATCCGATCAGATGCAGGAGACAGTCGCTGCTGCTGCTGCCACCGCCGCAGCTGCCAACAGCATCCAGGCTGCGCCACTACGGATCACCTGGAGACCCTATCTCAATACAGGTAACAGAAAACAGTTTCTCTGTTGGTCATCAGTCTAAGTGGTTTCACTGGAGTGAGTGAGTGAGTTTAGTTTTATGCCACTTTTAGCAATATTCCAGCAATACCACAGCGGGGGACACCAGAAATGGGGTTCACACACTGTACCCATGTGGTGAATCGAACTCAGGTCTTTGCATGACCAGAGAACGCTTTAACCACTAGGCTACCCGACCGTCCCTGGCTGCACTGGTAGCTAGTGCAATACACGAATTATTGTACTTTTGGGGTTAAGTCCCACATGGAATTTGAACCCGTACTCTAAGAGTCGGGCACCTAATCAGTGGCATAATCACCTGCACACAAATTCAGGGATATAATCAACTCAGCCACAATGGAAGTCCAACAACTGGTAGTCTACATCACATACTTTGTGTACCCCTTTGACAAGTGTAAATTGCACTGTTCCCATGGCCGAAACCTATGTATACACATTGTGTAATCAAAATTTTACACAGTGTATTTTGGCAGCTAAACATATGAATTTGTTAAACTTAGATTTGAAAGTAAGGTACATTTAATCCAGTAAACTATGTTTATAGTGACCAAGCGTATAATTAAGTGTTGGATACAACAGATGGTTCAGATGACTTGATGTACATTTTAGTTAAGCTTTAGTTAAGTTATGATGTGCTGAAATTAGTTGACCTTTTGAGTTCGTTGTGACCATAGTTAACTGTGATACTTTCCTCAATTGTCAGATGCTTCATTAGATAGTGAACAAAATGACGTTAAAACAGATTTTAACAACCCTACTGCAGCACAATAGTTCTTTATACGAGTATAACATGTCCAAACTATTTTGTTGTCAGCACCATCACGGACACCTATAATGAACACTGACCCCAACCAACCCCAGATAGCTGAAGGAGCGGATGCTGGGCAGGCTGAAACTTCACTCATCTCCTGGCATGAAAACTACCCCTTTGGTAATGCAAATCCTACCATGAACTGAAAAAATACTGTTATCTGATTTATCATTCAGAGGTTTCAAATCACTATTATCACCTCTGATGATGAGTTTTATGGATATACAACTTCTTTATTATTAATATGAGCGACATTTCGGTGTAGTTACTAACACCGTTATCAAGCAAGTGATGATTAACCTCTGGTAAAGGGACTATTTATCTACCACATCATTAAAAGCTAAAATTATGTTTTCATATTTTTCGTGTTTATTTGGTTCATAAACACACAATGCTGTCACACTACAATACAACATACTGTCACAGACCTCATATTATAGCGTCCACCGGAGAGCGGAAGAAGCGATTTATGTCATAATTACAAACACATGGACTTGTTGGTCCCTGCCTGGCTCGCATTAATGGGTACAACAAGGAAGCGCTCAGAGTCAGTATTTATGTTTGCTATCACTTCACATGGTATCTTTTGGAGAAACCACTAGTCCTTTTGTACAATCCTCTAATGAGCAGATTGCAGTCACCTCACCTCACGAAGAAGCTTTATGTCAAAGTACAAACACATGTAAAGGTCTGATGTAAAGGTTTGATGTCACAGTTGATATGTTCTGTATTGCTTCCTGCAGACAATGGTTACTATCTGTTCCCTGACTTCTCCCCAACAACGCTTGCCATTGAGGAAGGGCCAAACGGAAGCAGGCGGGATGGTGGTATTAACGTGATGGGCATGAACATACCACTCTGGACCTGGTGGTGAGATTGGAGTTTATTTATTTCACATTGAAAGTTAAAATATTGAGTATAAAATTATGATTTTAGAATCGTTGTTTTACTAAAAGCCAAAGAACTTATATCAGCTGTTGACAGTTTAATGATTGTTCCTGAAAGTTGGTATATATGTTTAAGCATTATGAGCTTTGAATAAATTTATGAATTTTTTCCCTGAAACTGCAGAATAAAATTGAAAGAGAATTGTTTCAGTTGATTATCAAAGGAGACAACTCTTCACAATACAGAAAATTATCTCCCTTAGAATTAACTGCACAATAAGGACCTTTCTGTTCCTGATTTGCCTTGGTTTTCTAACCTCTAGTTGTGTCCATGTAGTAGACAGCTCATGGTGTATGTTGTCTGCACACAGGAAGGAGATGGTGGCGATCACCCTGATGACGGTGGTGGTTCACCTGCTGCTGAGCAGATATGCCCACAAAGAACTGCCCAACTCCAGCAGACAGGTGTGTTAACAGTAGTTCTCATCTTAACTGGTCACAGAATTTGTTTCACCAAGGAGATAGTTCCATAAGATGTTTTAACAAAGTTATTAGGAAATGAACAGATTTCCTTTTTGGAAATTGGTCAAAAGTATAGAAGAAATTGTATGTGTATTTTGGGAGAGAAGTGCAGCCTGGGGATGTCCTTCCAACATTTTGAAACATACACTCCGAGACTTTGAAGCTTATTGGGTGTACTATAAGTATATATATTACAACATTATATAGTTATAAATGATGCATTATCAAAATGATTACTAAACAAAAAATGCAAAAGTCATAAACCATTTATACCCTCCTCATTCTAAAAATGAGCATTATGACCCCAGATATTTCATGGAGATTGTGGAATTTTAAGTGATATTAATTTCCCATGTTTGTTCTATGGAAAGTTACTCTAACTATAAATGATTTGATGTGTTCAGGTGTCTACTGATAGTACCAACAGCAAGGGGTCAGAGACCTCACAGTCTCCACCAGAACCACAGAAACAGGAGGAATATTCTTCCAGGTAACCAGACAGTCTCGTTATCACATATGACAAATGGGAGTATGTAACTGACAAGTTAGTCCAGGACTTGGTTTATTTTTTGTAACATGTATACAAAACATTTCAGATTACTAAATGCTTAAAGTGTTGTGGAAGGTAGTACTCCGTTCAGATGATTTGAAGTTTGTTAGTGAATGCTGTTCTCTAAATGATTCTTCTTATTGACCTGAAAGAATGTCATACATATTGAAGTACAGTGTCTGGGCCTAGATTGTAGTGGGCACCATGACACTGAGTGTATTCCATCGCTAACTGTGGATGCACAGAATTCTTTGTTCTTCAACCAGTTATGAAGTCAGTAATATGTAAAAATTAGAGAAATAATACAGATAATAGCAACAGAAACAAGTATATGTGTATATTCAGATGCCAGGATGGCACTTGTTCTTATCCTTAATCATCTGTTTGTTTGTCTGTTGGAAATTTCAAACATTTCAGAGATTGTCCTTATGTTTTCACTGTACAGGCTGGTAACTGTTTCTGGTTAATTTGCATTCCAGGGCAGAATTTAATTTATATATCTAAATTAACACAAGCCTGGTAGTCTATGTTGAATGCTCTTCCATACAACATCAAGCTATCAGAAACGCCATCAACATTTTGGACAAACTTAAAAACCCATCTCTTTAAAATTGCCTATGACTGTTAAACCAAGAGGCACTGTGTACTGTGTACATACTGTGAACATGTGAAAGCGCCAGTGAACAGTATACCTGGAACCTTTCAGCGCTAAATAAAATGATTAGATTAGATTAGATTAGTCTGGAACTAAACATATTCAGGAAGGTCTAGAGTCAATTGTGTGGTCACTGCCACTTTTACCATTAGCAGTTTTTGTGGACTAGTTAAACTAAAACTAAATTTCTAACCCTGCTTGGAAAGTGTCTAACAATATTAACATGAGTCTGATGTCTTGTAGGTTCAGCCAGGACTTTGACTGCCTGCACTGTTTAGGAAAAGGAGGATTTGGGATTGTGTTTGAAGCCAAGAATAAAGTGGATGATTGCAACTATGCTGTGAAGAGAATCTGTATCCCCAACAGGTGGGTAGATGGATATAATCAAGGCACACTTGCCCATGCTTGGGGCCCAGGATAGCCCAATGGTTGTATGTCCGCTGTCTATGACTGTCATGGATGAGGTGAAGCAGAGTCTTGATTTTCTCACAGCTGTCTCTTTTTATCCAGTAAACTACTGTTCTGAATCCTCTATCTGTCTCAGGGGCGGTGGGGTAGCCTAATGGTTAAAGCGTTGGCTCGTCACACCGAAGACCCGGGTTCGATCCCCACATGGGTACTATGTGTGAAGCCCATTTCTGGTGTCCCCGCCATGATGTTGCTGGAATATTGCTAAAAGTGGCGTAAAACCAAACTCAGTCAGTCAGTCTATCTGTCTTAGAGGAACAGTCAATATTTGAGTTTATAAAATGGCATATTCTTGTCAAGATCTAGGATTATGTGTGAAACATGAGTTATATCAAGCATGGGTTGGTTGAGCTATTGGATAAAGTGTATTGGTTGGGAGAAGAACATTGGCATATATTGTTCTGCACATAACCCAAGATCCCAATACATCACAATCTGTAGCTGTTCTCTTATTTGTATTTGATCCCACTGTTACAATGATACTGATGTTAATGACCTGAACAATCAGTAGTCATCTTACCATGTGGAACTAGGGGTGTGTTGCAAACAACCAATCGCTTGCAAGTGATGTACAGCAATTAGCCTGACAACGGAGTGCTAACTTTCAGCCGCTTGCAATCGCACCAATCGCTGGATGAGGTCGCTTCATTCTCAAACCGAAATGGCGGCTTAGAGAAATTTAAATTCGACGACTGAACAAGAATTGTTTGACTTAATCAGCTGGGAAATTGGCAAAGACATCTTAAATCCCAGCATCCTTAGTTTGTCCCACATCTTCAATGTAGTCATCAACAATAATAAATTATCATAATAATCATCGAGACTCTTCTAACACGTTCTTCATTAGGGCCAGGCAAGCAAACTGTAATTGCTCCGCCATTTTGGAAGAGTGAGAAACGCTTCGAGCTGTTGCAAGCCCGGGTTAAGTGATTCATTTGCTTACTCTAAGCGATTCCCGGCTTGCAACGCACCCTGGGTTTGGTGGGGCCTCAATCAATCACTTGTCAATGAACAGGTAACTTGTGATCAGACTCAGTGAATTGTAATTTGCATTTCATCATACCAAGACGGCTGCATTGTCTAACAGGCCACCATTTATTGAATACAACTGGAAACAACAAGATAAACATCTCGAGTGATTTAGGTTGGTGGGGTAGCGTAGTAGTTAAAGTGGTCACTCATTACACAGAAAGCCCAGGTTCAATTTCCAAGATGGATATATTTCTGGTGACCATCCCTCGCTCACTCACATGGCAGACCAGTTCCAATGATATTCAGTAACAATGGCTACCTTTCAGGGAAGGTCATAAGGAACGGGTTATCCGAGAGGTGAAAGCTTTGGCCAAGCTGGATCACGTGGGTATTGTCCGATTCTACCATGCCTGGCTGGAGACACCCCCTTCAGGCTGGCAGGAGGAGAGAGACAAACAGTTTGAAGACAGGTAGGTCATGAGTGTCACTTAGTGTTTCATTCTACCATTATTTGGACAGGTAATGTCCTCCACTGTGATGTTGCTGGAATATTGCTAAAAGCGGCATAAAACCAAACTCAGTCAGTCAGTGGACAGGTAAATTAGAGGTTTCAAATTACATTATCCACCTCTGATCTGGATTTGAGGGCAGCATCACAGTGGAATATTCTGGAGACATATTTCTTTCTTATTCTTTGTCAGAGGGTGCTATGAAGTAGTATGTATGATTCAATTAAGCTTTGAAATAATACATTTGATTTAAATGATTGGGAACAGAAATCCAATAAGAGTGTGTATTTCAACCTGAGGGTCAACAGAGATGTCATATCTTGTTACTGTTAGTGGTGTGACATCATAATAATAATAAGAGTGTCCATGTTTACAACTTAACATTGTAAGGTATGCAACGTTTTCTTTTTGGTTGATTCGAATTTAAGCAACATTTACTCATTTTTCTGTAATTCAGTGAATGCCTGACACCGACGCCATGCAACTCAGGGACAGACGTATCCTCCATATCTCGATTCCCACCAAACCAGGCCATGGAACCAAGTCTCTCAGACCTCAACCCTTTTATTAACAAACTGGGAATCCTACCCGAGGAAAAGTCTTTGTCTCTCAGCCATCTCAACCATCTTCGTGAAGGAACCAGTCAAGAGTTTTCTGCTCATTCTGATCAGGATTGTTCCACAGATGAAAGTGGGTCTTTCAGTTACATTGGTGCAGAGCCTGACAAGCAACTCGCAGAAGAGGAAGATTCATTCAGCATTGAATTCATGAATTCTCAGTCAGGTGTAACGAAATCTAAGTCAACTGACATACCGTTCCAGTCCTATCTCCATTCATCAAATACCAGCATGCACCAGTCACGTCAAGGTGATGCAGACTCATTCAGTATTGTGTTCGAAGATTCAGGGTGCAAGGAGAAAAGCAGTAATGATCTTTCACAAGAAAGAGATGATTCAGGAGAAACAGACTCCCATGTTGTGTTCAAAGACCATTCCATTCGGATTGAGAAATCTGAAAGCTCCGGTTTTCCGAGCAAAAGCTCTGATAGACACATCTCCACGGAGAAGGACAGCCACAGTGTAGGAAAGAAAGTTCCGACTCCAAAGGTGTATGTGTATATTCAGATGCAACTGTGTCGGAGAGAGACGCTCAAGGAGTGGATGTGTGCAAACACCCTGAACCGGGATAGGAATACAATTCTGGATATATTTGACCAGATAGTGTCTGCTGTTGAATATGTACATGAATGTGTACTTATGCACAGAGATCTCAAGGTAAGTGTCGTCAGATCATAATATAATCATATATGTTAGGGGTGTTTGTCATTTTTAAAAAGTGATATCATTATCATCATTGATCATTAACTACTGTTATATCTGGTGAGGATTTTGCAATTTATTTTCAACTTGTCAAGGACAGTGTTTGAAATTTAAACTGTTATTTTCCCTGGGGAAATAGCTTTAACTATGTTTCAAATGCAAATATTACAATACTACATGACGTCATCATGGTCATGTTTCGCAGAACGAGGACTGACTTACTTATTCATGTTATTTGCAATTTTCAAGGCAAACTTGAACTTGGTTGGTCAATGTTCGCGAAATGTGATGTGAAACATATTGTCACATCCTCAGATGCTTGTTTAGTGTTTTTGAGAAACAAGATCTTATTTTAATGAGAATGTTTTCTATGTGTTCTAAATAACGATTGGGGCATTTGACTGACTGACTGACTGACTGAGTATGGTTTTACGCCGTTTTTAGCAATATTCCAGCAATATCACGGCGGGGGACACCAGAAATGGGCTTCACAAATTTTACCCATGTGGGGAATCGAACCCCGGCCTTCGGCGTGAAGGGCGAACGCTTTAACCACTAGGCTACCCAACGGCCCCTTGGGGCATTTGATATCATGATTGAATGTCATAATGATCATGATATAAATATTCTCAAATGCATGTCAGTGAAATTGTGTAGATTGATGCTTGTTATCTCAGTCTCTGGGCTCGATCATTTACAGACTGTCAGTGTCATCTTATACCGGTAGCCAACATATTGCTTAAAACCTAGGGCAGGCTTTTGATATAGATCAAAGAGATTGATAACTAAATACCTATCAATTATTGCTAAATATAAGTAACTTTGGACAAAAATAGCCAAAAGAAATCACCATACTTTACATCACATGTGAGTGGAGTACGAAGTAACAGGGGTATATAGTCTATAGCGTTCATTCTATCCTTCCATCCTTCTATCCTAGGTTCAAACTCTGCCCAGAGCATATCTCTTAAAGGAAACATTTACATGCTATGGTTCCCCTAACTTCACTTACAAGTGTTAATCATTACCCATTGATGTGCCTTTTGCTATTTTAAAGTTTTTTGAGAATTTGTTTTTGTTTCCATGGAAACTTAGTGCCATATGTGTTTGATGGTTTTGTCTTAAGCATATCTCTTAAAACTTTACATGCTAGGTTCACCCTTTTGCTATTTTACTTCACAGACATGTTAATCATTACACATTGATGTGCCACTTTTGCTATTTTCATAACAATTTCAAATGTGTTGCAACATGAGAGTCAGTAACAATCTTCACCATTCTTCAACCGTCCACTTCATTGTGTGCAACATGAGTCAGTAACATTCTTCATCTACGTCCACTTCATTGTGTGCAACATTCATTGACATGAGACAGTCAAGTTCAATTGTATGTCAGGTTTCCACGGAAAACACAAAAATAATGTTTCCATAAATTCTTACTGTAATCAGTACATGGCAAAACTATTACCTAACATGTATATAAAGTTTAGTAGAGTCCAGGAGAAAGTCTTGTGAGCTGCTGATCCTTGTGACATTATATATATCAATATCAGTCATTTCCATGTCCCACAGTGGGAAGCGGGGGTATGTGAGCTGTGCTCACTTCTACACTTATCATTGCTTATTATGTATGGATTGTGAATAAAACAGTGTCCTAAACAAAATTTATAAGCAGTTCAGAAATGAAAATGTAGCTTGGTGTATTTTGTCGGTAAATCAGCACTATATTTCATTGCAATAGTTTAGGTACGATAATATCGATGACAAAATTTCGTATCGATAATCATTGATAATTCTTCCCATTGATGATATTTCTGATTATTGATCATTTTTGTCAGCCATATTAATGAAAAACCTGATACTGTTGTAAGTACATTTCTGCTATTGTCTACTGAACAGCGGAATCAAAGATCATCCCCTTTTTTATTCCAGCCTTCTAATATTTTCTTCTCTGTGGATGGGACAATCAAGATTGGAGATTTTGGCCTTGTGACAGCTCTTGTAGAAGCACAGGACGTTGTCGGAGAAGCTGGTGATGCCTACGCCAAGCACACGGCTGAGGTTGGCACACAGCTCTACATGAGTCCAGAACAGGTAGCAAACTATATCACAATTTTCTTTTTATTGCTATCAGTCACTTTTGAAAAGGGTTGGATGGGGTAGCCCAGTAGTTAAAGCATTCACTCATCACACCGAAGACCTGGGTTCGATTCCCCATATGGGTACAAATTATGTGTGAAGCCCATTTCTGGTGTCTTCAACCATGATATTGCTGGAATATTGCTAAAGCAGCATCAAACGATACTCACTTTCTCACTTTTGAAAACGTTAAACATTTAACTTTTGTGGTGTTTGTGACAACATTTCATATGTAATTCTTGCACTTTCCCCTTTTGTGGTGATAATTTTATCAGTGATACTGATATACATGCTGTGAGTGGAAAGCTGCTGCTTCTCTATGGTTAAGAGTTTTGCATCATGCCAAAACCCATGGTTTGATTCCCTACAGGGCTACAAATTAAGATTTGAAGCCCTTTTTCGTGTTCTTCCATTTGTCTTCTGAGTGGTATTGCTGGAATATTACCAGAAATGTCTTGAAACTCTCTCACTTACTATTGGGCCATGATACTAACATGCAGAGCAAAGATTTTGATTGCATTCTTTTCTGTCAGTGAACTGTAGTATGGTTAGATTACGTATGTTGTATGTTGTACAGATTGCTCGACGTCAGTACGACCACAAGGTGGACATCTTCTCCCTGGGAATGATCTTGTTTGAGCTGCTGTATCCATTCTCCACCCAGATGGAGAGGGTCAGGACACTGATGGACATCAAGAAACAGATTTTCCCAGACAGATTCAAGCGAGAAATGCCAAAGGAGGTAGGTAGCTTATTCTTTCTTTTTTCTCTGCCTGCTTGAAATTTGACTTCTAAATTAATATATCATTGTAAGGATTGAAAAGCCACTTTAACCGATGTGCTGCAAGAGCCGTATGCTCCCTAAGGAGTTGAGATTGATAATACAATATACCGTTGAGATTGACATCCAATGATCGAGGGGAAAAAATACCAGCGCCATGACCATGTACAAGTTGCGTGGATATGTGCACTATATAAATATCCCATAATAATAAAAGAATTAATAATATCCCGTGTATATAGTAATGTTCTGTTGATAATGTTTAGACTGTCCTGAGAACAGTTTTGGCTGTAAATATATTTCCTACAGCCCTATCCTATCTGTGGTGGTGGTGGTGGAATTGGGTTTAACGTCGTGCTTGAGAATATATCGATCATATGACGACGTGCATGCGTGTGTATGTGTATGTGCGGCTGCTTGTACTAGCCCAGACTGAAGCTGGTTTTATAGTGCTAGCCCACTGAGATACCATGCCGCAGTGAAGCATGAATACCCCACTCAGACACATTATACTGACACCAAGCCGACCAGTCCTTGTTGTACACATTAATGCCGAGCGCCAGGCAGGGACCAACAAATACCATATTTTAACGTCTTTTGGTATGATGCGGTCGGGGATCGACCCCGCGACCTTCCGCACTCCGGGCGGACGCTCTAACCACTACACCACGGAGGTGGTCCTATCCTATCTGTATATCACTGAGTCAGTAATGTACATGTGTACAAAAATTCATTTCATATTAGAACAGCTAAGTATATCAGAAATTACAGAACAACCTTTCACAATGAGATTTCAATATTTCTCCATTGGTCAGCCTTCAGGGCCCCATTCCTGAAAGTAACGTTACCTCTACGAAGATTCTAAACCTAGGGTAAAGTATTGGAGTTATCATCACCTCAGCGCTAAGATTACTTTGCGAAATGGGGCCCAGTACATTAAAAATGCAGCTGTATTCTGCTGACAGTTCAGCTTACTTTCAGTTCATGAAGAATTGAATCTTTGTTAGTTCCTTGATATCTTTCTTTCAGCACACAGTGGTCAGCTGGCTTTTATCACAGAAGCCTGCCAAGCGTCCATCTGCTCGCGATATATTGGAGAGTGATCTTTTGAAGGACTTTGCCCCACGTAGACAGGCCAGCAGGTTCCGGACTCGCACCATCAGCAGTGGAAGCAATCACTCCGGCAGTTAATGAATGGCTCATAACTTGTCTGACTAAAATATGTTTACTTGTGTAGACAATTATGTGACAGTATGTATTTGAGGTACCTCTGGGCCAGGATGTTCAACATTGACTGCAGGACTTGCCAGCACAAGACATTTGGGGGGACAGGACAAGCCAACAAAACAAAATAACCTGCATGATATATGCAAGGGGATCATGAGGCCAAGAGTTTCAACAAAGACACAAGATAAGGGTGATTTAGGCAGGGATTTGAGAGAATTTTTTGGCAGGGATTTGAGAGCTTTTCAAGAAGTGATTCCTTGGTCCCCGAGAACCTGTATATATGAGAAATGTCAAAATTAAATGGGCTCCTGGCATACTTAAATTTTGCTGCTTTATTTTATCTTGCGGCTACATTTTTCTCCACCTTTGAACATTGGGGTCATGACAAGAACCCCTTTCATGCTTAATTTTGAACACTGCATGAGGACAGCATTAAGTACTGTGATGTCGCCAGTGATTGGCTGTTTCAAACATTCCATAAAATCCAGGAAAACAATGTTGAAGAACTTTGTAACTGTTTGAAAGGTTCCAAGAAACAACTTTATAAAATAACAAGCATACTTGAAACAGGTTAACTGATAATATCTTGATAATTTAATAAGGTCCTGATAGCTGATAGCTGTTTCATCCTTGACGTAGTTAGTGTATATGCCTGCTCTGAGGAGGATGTGAATGCTTGATTAAGGTAATGGTAAGGACCAACATGCTTTTCTGGCTTTTTCTGTCACAGACATGTCTACTTACCATGCACAGAGTTGAACATCAAGCCAAACTCACATATGGCCAAATATTTATTCATATATTTATGAATATCTTACATCATATTGCACAGGGATTGATTATATCATCTTTTGGGGATTATTCAGGGTTCTCACTTGAGTCCAAAAATTGCCATCTAGATTTAGATTTTCATATATAAAAAAATTGGGCACATGTGCACCAAAGGGCTGATATATTGGTTTGTAAACAATTTTACATATTTCATATGATTGTCACATGATAACATAGTCAAATATATTTGAGCTGATCATACCAATTAATTTGATTATTTTTAACAAAAACGTTTACAATTTTAGGTAATTGAAGGTTTTAAGGGATTGGTAGAAAAATGGTTTACAGATGGTGTTAATCATATCAGCAGTTTAGATTTACATAGATAGTTCCAATATATGTGAGAACAGCAGAAAGTTTGGGCAGTATTGTATGTGGTGATCGTAGTATGTCATCTTCACTTGTGCCATACATTCAAGTTCCAGTACCACTTCGAACTTAAATGCATTCATGTATCATGATGTATCAATCTTTCTGTGTAAATACTTTTTATTTGGTATTTTTGTGTTCAGATTTGCTTCATAACCGCTAGAAGGTATGTGGCCATCTTTCCAAGGCAAGGATGTTAACTTACTGTAAAAGTCCACTTTCTACCCTTTCTGAACTTGGCTATAACTGGAGATATAATTTGGCTGGACATGACGTCAGTGTATAGTCCAATTAAAACTGGAACAAAACTGCACTGAAAATCCTGTCCATAGCAGGTTTGCAGTGCAGTGAGAAACAGGTGTTGACATATTTTCCAAATCTCTTCAAATGTTTACGCAAGGTGCTAAAGTGATCTGATGTACTCTGCAAGGTGAGGTTCATTTGCAACAGAGATCTTGACGGTCTTGACTGGATGGTGCCATTTTGTTGTAAATAAGTGCTAATGACAGGTGAGGTGGAAAATTCTTGGTTAGTGACCAGTTGTGAGCTCTCTTGCCTTGGGAAGATAAAATGTTGTAGACGTTTCTGAAGTCTGCGTATACATCCAGTCTATGCTGGGGCGGATACAGCTTTTTGAGAAAGGGAAGGTGCACACTTCATTTTCACCCAAGTTTCAATGGTCATTTAATAAACTTTCAGGACAAAAGGGGGGGTGCGCACCCCTGCACCCCCCCTCTGGATCCGCATATGCTATGACTGCTGTGTCTGCCAACATGGTTACTCTTCTTGGAATGTACTTTTTCCATTTAGATATATGCTTTGGTTAAACTCAGGAATGATGTTTCAGAACCATCTGACACTGCTTTACAGTGTTTGCCGTGTTAGGCATGGGAAGGAGTGATGTGCATTGGTGGGCAGCTGACAGGTTTCTAGAATTTTCCCACTAAAATGGTTCATAAATGGAAAAAAACATAGATAAGTATGTTTATAATCATGAAACAACTGTATCTAAGTTTGTAAAGTTTTGTAAAGTTCAAATTACATGTGCCAAAACAGTTTTCTTTAGAATTAATCTTCCCGCATATACTTTCATTACATTTTCAGACCAAAAGAAATTTGACTAAAATCAGGCTTTTGATTATTATCAACAGACCTCACTCACAAAAAGATCTGATCCATACATGAACAAATACATTATTACTGATGAATCATGCATGGAATATGTTGACATGTGTAGCATTTGAGGGCTTGAGGCTTATCAACATATGTGTTCTTTTTTGGAGTTTGGTAACTCAGTTTCAAGTCTTTAGTTACTTTAGGGTTTATCTTGGAACAAAAATGTGGACCAAATTTATGATGATGAATTGTGTTGTTTCCAGACAGGGAATGGTATTGGTTGTACATATGTGTATATGTCTCTGTATATAATGAATACAGTTTGCCAGAATAATTATTGTTAACATTAATTTATTTGTATCATCATGGAACATTCATTGATAAATATGAAAAGCAAATCTCAAATGTGCATTTACATTACTTTTCTTTAATTTAAGAAGGGATTTATCTAGACATGCCCAGGTGCTGATATTCAGCCTTGAGACATGTAAATAAAAATTCAGCAAAAATTCACAATTTGAGATTAACATTTCCCTTTTCTTCAAAATTTGTGAAATTATGGAGATTAAAAAAGGTAAGAGTCTCACAGAGTGCGTCTATATAATACTGGGAATATTCTTTCAACACCCTTATAACATGTACATCAGCTTATCAGTAAGTGTAAGCTTTCACTTCAGCTGCAAACACATGAGCTCCTTTTAACTGCTTCTGTTACTTGTTTAATAAATAAGATTACTCTGGACCTTAATTGAGCATAGTGATTGATGCTTTCAGGCATTCTTGTGTCTCAAGCACAGTTTGCATCGGCAATAAGCATCTCTAAAAATAGTACTGAGGTAGACGAAAGAGGACATAAGTAACACAACTTTCTTTACATGCATTCATGAAAATATCCCCTTGTCTGCATCACTGTTTGACATTGATTAAGAACCATTATTTTAGCCTTTGAAAGGCTTTGGCTACTTGTCATGTGAAGCTGAGATGCAGGGTCTGTATAAATAACTATGCTTGCTACTGATTTGTTGTAAGGAATATAGTATTTATAAGTTGTAATTTGCCAATATTTGTCCCAAGCATAATTGTGATAATTTTCATATCTGCATCTCATCACAGCCAGTTAAATGTAAATACTGCTTATTTCTTATTAAGTTGTTACTGTTTGTTTTTGATAAATCATGCATCAGTGATGTAAATATTAACTGAATATTCATATCACCACATGGGAGTCATTCAAAACAAAATGTTGAAATAAACTTATAAAAAACAACATTTCTTGTTTTCTTTTTTTAATCAGTACAACTCTCTCTTTCAGTACAACTCTAACTCTCTCTCTCTCTCTCTCTCTCTCTCTCTCTCTCTCTCTCTCTCTCTCTCTCTCTCCTCTCTCTCTCTCTCTGTCTGTCTGTCTGTATGTCTGTCTGTCTGTCTCCAGCAACTTGGCCAGTTGTACAAGGCGTCTTAACTGAAGGGTGGTCACACTGGTCATGCTTGAAAATATCCAGATTCTTACAGTAATGTAAACTAACTCATCTGAATCCTTATCTTACCTCTCACTGACATGGTACTTGCCCGCATACTGATTTTTGTTAATACCTGCGGCTGTGGGCGAAAAAAACCCCCTTTCTTCTGTACTACTTGTATTTCTGCGATTACTAGGTACAGTATGGAGCTATTTTTCTGGGAATCACACAGGAGGGCACGTGGGCATTCCAAGTGATTATTGGTCTCCGGCAACCTATGCTTGTCATAAGTGGCAGCTAAATGGAAAATCAGGCATGATGACTAGGTTGGTTGTCGAACCCAACTTGCGTGGATAGACGCTCATGAAGTCAATCCCTGTGATGGACTGTCCTGGGCCTTCACAAAGCTATCGTAGCGCTATGAGTGCCGTACCTCCTATACTGTAACATAGACTGAAGACAGTCGTAGCGCTCTGATAGGGTCCTGGAAGAGATGGTCAATCACAGGGATTCTGGACAGTCGGCAGTGTTACTGCTAGGATCTTGGCAAGTGCTACATTAACACGTTAAAGAAAAACTAAAGAGGTGAGTGAATGAGTTTGATTTTACGCCACCTTTAGCAATATTCCAGCAATATCACGGCGGGGGAGAGCAGAAATGGGCTTCACGCAATATGCCCATATGGGGATTCGAACCGGATCTTCACTGTGACGAGCGAACGCCTGATCCACTAGGCTACCCCATCGCCCCAACAACCTAAAGAAACCATTGGTGGTGTCGTAGTTCAGACAAAGAGAATGGATAATTTCGTTTAAGTTATGATTACACTTTACAGAGTTAATGAATGTGAAGTTAAAATGCATTATCTCAAAGCTACAATAATTCAGGGGAAGCTAGTCAACGCCGACGTTAACAAATGAATGTACGTGCGGTTTGACATGATGACCCGCGCTGGATGACCCCTGAAACTAAGTGCCGTTATGCCACACAACACATTAATCACCTGTTTCCTTTAGGATGGGTAACTGGGGGAGTATTTGCATGGGCTACAGAGTTACCACTGTATGTTGAATTGTAGATGACATGTTTGATTGCTGTTGTGATGACGGAAAACCACTTACGAAACATTACAAACGGTGAGTGTTTAAGTGTCAAAGTTTGATAAGACGAGTGTTGTTTGATAAGAAAGGTTGTCTTTTTATATAAAACCTGCGTTACTTTAACGGATATATCTATGATCGTTGTGTATGTTTTTCTTCTGTAAATGTGTACGTTGAACACAGGCGACACCCAGATACAAACCATTCAACATAAATAGTGTAACTGAAGGGACAGGGCCATACATTCAAACGCAAGCAACGTGTGGCCATAAGCGCTTCAACCAAGCAATGAAACACAGAAACTGGGGACTGAACAGGCTGGCCACATCAAAGTGAAGGCCGTGAGACTTCACAACGTATAGTAGAGGACGAACATTTTTACATTGCCACTAACACGAACATCTCCCAAATGTACTCAGATACTTATTATGTTATGCGCCTTTGAAGATTTATGTGTAGATAAATTTTCAAACGGCCTATTTGTTTCAACGTTACAAAATGCACCGAGACCCGTGAAGATCCGGGGTAGAATCCGAGATAGCATTCTGACGTTGGCCCAACGTAATCGTGACCGTGGGGCCAACGTTGGCAAAGAAACGTCGCCCAACGTTGGCAAACAAACGTTGGCCCAATGTTGGATCAACGTCTGTCCATTCCTCAATACCTCTTACCTACCTTGAAATGTGTGTACAAATCTCGCAATACTATCACATAGCAAGCAATACATTCTTCAAGTTGAATTCACTCTCTGTGTCTTTGCTGGACACCTCTGGACAGCTTTATGTAGGCTCATGTCAGTCAGCTGGAATATTGCTGAGTGCGGCGTAAAACTAAACTGTCTACTATCTACTTGTACCATTTCGACCATTATTTCAATAACAAACATGGCTGCTGTCTTCACCTCTACCGCTGACTTTGTCTTCCGTCCGTCAACCATCCTGAACTACCATCCGAGAGCATCCCCAACGAACGCTCTTGATCAGAAAGTGGATGCTGTGACTCACGCAGGATTTCGCTACCTTAACTCCCAGCAAAGGCAACGGTTGTTAAGAGATGGTGGGAGAGAGGACCAGTGTCAACGCCTGCCGCCACCTTGGAGGAAGAACGGAAAAGACAGGTAGCCAGCCGACCCGACGATCAGCCGACCCGATCATCAGCAAGACAGCAGCCCATGCATAACCAGCATTCTTCACAAAGTCATCGACAGCAACAACCAGACCCAGCAAAGTTCATATGATTGTAAGTACAACAACTTTCAACGCCATCCTTCAAGACTTAGTGAACAAGCGTCAAGATTCTTCAACAAGTGCTTCCCTGTGTGAGACAATATACATGTAATGTTAACTCTCGTTCGAACCCTCTCAAAGTTTTTGTGTTTGCAAGTTTTCTCTCGGACATTCTTGTTCATGTCAGGTATGTAATTCTTCTTCAATCATTGTTTCATGTGTGTTTATATTTGTCATATTTTTTTCTATTGAGTATGTACATGTATTGCAATCTTTATCTGCTTGAAACGTACATCTTTATTAGATAAGTTTTTTAATTCGGTTAGGCTCTTACTCTGTTAGGCTCTACGATACGCATTAATGCAGATCAAAGCTATCTGCGGGTTCCGAGTCGTC